AAGCACTTCCCTAGATTCTGGAATTCACTAATTTGAAGGAAAAGTAATTTGTTCCATCTACTTCAAGTAATTGGGAGGATTAAATTTTATGGTAGGGAGTTTACAAAGGTTTACTCTACTCTTGGGTAGCTTTGCTTGAATTTTGAGGCCACTTGGGCCAATAGCTTTCTCTTCTCCTTTCTGAAAGATTTTTCATTAATAATTGTTAATTTAGGTGTCTAGTTCTTGAATTTAGTGTAGTTTTCTTACCAAGGCTGATTTCAGTAACGTGTAGGATACGCTTTTTCTGTGTCTATAACTATCTGAGGACGTAGCCCTGTGATAGTCTTGGATTCATGTGCATGCACAGGCATCTCTCTCTCTCTCTCTCTCTCTCTCTCTCTCTCTCTCTAGGGCTGGATCTCAGTTCCCCCTCCACACTGCTGTGTGCACATGTTCTTGTTTTCTATCCCTGAGCTAAGACATGGGCAAGTGAGATAACCACACACCCTGTTATCTTTTGCTGTAGCTTTTTCATTTTTATTTAATCTCTTAGGACTTTCCTTTGCTTTTGTTGTAATTCAACTATGTATTTAAAGGTATGCTTTTACGTGTAGCCCAGAATTTCTAACTCTTTTATACTTTGGATCTTTTTTTCAGTCTTATATTGGCAGAAATAGAAGTTCTGTGCTTTACATCCTATTTTAAAAAGTCCAATGTTTTATTTTGAGAAATTAAAAAAAACCTACAAAATATTTCAAATACATCCTATGCTCTACCCCAGATTGGAGATCTTTAATTTATTCCATGAATATTTATATGCCCATATATTGTTCCAAAAACTCGGGATAAGTCAACAAAGAAAATAAAAGTTCCTCTTCCCCATGGAGCTTATCTACTAGTAGGAGATACAGACAATAAATAATACACATAAAATACATTTATATTATGTGTTATGAAGAAGGGAATAAATGCTCAGAAAAAAGAGAAGCAAAGCAACTAGAATAGGACTTGGGAATCAAGAGTGTGGGAAGAAGTTTAACATTTTACTTTTAAAAATAAGGTTTTTCTAGCCTCTTTTACAGAATGCCACAGACTAACTTGTGAAGAAGGTTATCGGTTCTGGAAACTGGGAAGTCTGTGACTAAAGGATTCCATCTGCTGAGGACCTTCTTGCTGTGTCGTAACATGGCAGAGGGGGTCACATGATAGAAAGCAAACAAAAGACAGAGTGGTAGGACATATGAAAAGAGTTTGCTTTTATAACAAAGCTACTTTTGCAGTGACCAACCCACTCCTGAAATAATAGCATTAGTTCATTCATAAGGGTGGAGTCCTTCATTTACCTCTTAAAGTTTCTTCCCAACATTGTTGCAATGGCAGTTAAATTGCAACATATATTTTATGCTGGAATCGTACCAGTGGTCGTAATTGCCTCTGAAATGATGATGACCTTTGAAATAAGACTAGAAAAAGATAAGGGAATTGAGTAGGCGGATTTTTGGGAACGAGCATTCCAGGAAGAGCTAGTGCAAAGGCCTTGATGTGGGATTGTGCCTGCTGAGTTGGAGGAAAAGCAGGAAGGCCAGTGTAGCTGGAGAGGAGTAAGGGGGGAAATTTCAAGATAAAGTGTAAGAGAAGAGAAAGGAGATTGTTGAGGGACAGTGTTGGCACTGTCAGGACTTTAGCCATTTTTTGAGTAATGAGGGAGCCATAGGAAGTGATTTTGTTTGGTTTTATAAGAGTAATCTGGTTATAAAAACAACTCAGAGAATTTTCTGTTTTCTGAGTCACTTAATAAGTTGCCAAAATGATGCTCTATTTTTTTGCTACTGAGTGTGTCTCACCTAAATTTGTGTGCTGGAATCTAAGACCCAATGTCTTAAGTGGTGGGGTTTTGGGAGTTAATTAAATCATTCATGAGTACTATTATTATGAAAGGACTAAAGGGAACTTGCTAGGTTCTTTTGCCCATTTTTCTTTCCACCATTTGAGGATGCAGCTTTCAGATCACCATCTTGGAAAGAAAGACTGGGCTCTCTCCAGATATCAAACTTGCAATCACCTTGATCTTGAGATTCCCAGGTTTCAGATCTGCAAGAAACACACCTATGTTATTTGTATTTTGTAAAATACGCATCTTGAGGTCTTTGTTTTAGTGACAGGCATACATGAAAACCAAAACAAAATACTTTGATGTATAGGTTTTACTGACAAGATAATTTTCTCTATGACTTTAGCCCAACCAATCAGAATCAAGAAATTAGTATTGTTCTGTTAGCATCATCCTATCCTCAGACCTTCTTAAAACTTCATCAAATTTTCCAAATATATCTTTTTATAGTAAGTATACCCACTCTAGAACACGTGCTTGTCAAACCTCTTTAGAATCCTTCAACTTGAAAGAGTTCTTTAGATTTTCTGACTTTGCGACATTGACATCTTGCAGGTTACAGGTCAGTTACACTGCAGAGGCTTCCTCACTGGAGTTTGTTGGATAATTTCTCATGATTAGAATCTGGGTATGCATTTTGATAGTGATATTACATGGCAGGTACTGGTTTATCTATCTGGTTATTGTACATACACAAATTGAATTGTCCCATTGCCAGTGAATCTGTTATCCCTGAACCAATGTGATATCTGAAAGCTTCTCCACTAGAAAGCTGCATTTTCCCACTCTGTGATTAGCAGGTATTTTGTCGGGAGACACTTCACGACTATGTGAATATACTTCTGTAATCAGAGCCTTTCACTGACTAGTTTTATTCTTTTTTAGGTCTAAATATCTGTAAATGAGTATTAGAGCAATGACAAGCTGGATTTCCAGGCTTCCTCTTTTAAAAATATGGTGTCTGAGAAACTCTAGGATCATATAAATAAGTAGATAGGATCATACTAAGCTTTATGAGTACATTTGCTTAATTCTTGGGAATCCAGTGTACCTCATATCACAAATTCTCCATCTTAAAATTTGTATATAGCACATTATCAGCTGATCAGGTTCTCCTTATATTTGATGAAACATAGACATGAAAGAAGTCACCTGACTTGTAAACGAATTTGTTTCCTGATTTTCAGTTTCTCTGAATTATGATAAAGATACTGTATCAAGACTTATCAAGTGACCTTTAGTTAGATTTATTGCCTGTTTGCGGTGACTGTGTAACCTGATAGACTTAGAAAGGCTTAAGAACATTAAGTGTTACTTTTAATGTGCCCTTTACATTTCTTTATCATATGCTATTTTTAAGGGGGAGTCAAAGTATTAGACGTATGAATTTCACTTGATAATTTATGGAAATTCTAAGCTAATGGTTATGGACTACCAATTATGCCAGGACGATGGGCATAAGCCATGACTGTCCTGGGAAAGCTAAGATATATGTTTATTGTATCTAATGAGCAATGCTCCTATTCATTGTCAAATCAGCTTCTTTTTTGTCAGAAAAGCCTGACTCTGACTTCACATTCAATCCAGATAAACATGCTATTATGCATTCCCATGACAACCATCTCATTTCTGAATGTGGCAACTAGCTGGGGATCAGATGATCCCATTTCTTCACGTATCCATTTAAAAAGATGTGAGTTGAACTCCCTTGATCTTATAATATTTACAATTTAAATGGCAGCACCCAGTACTCCTTACTAGTCAGAACTCTACGTTTTGCAGCCAGACCTTGTTTATCAATAAAATCATATTCTCAAAGAGAAAGCAAGTTTTAAAGAATAAATAAAAGAAATAAAACTTCAGGTTCACTGTCATTGTAAATCAGAACTGACTACATAATTCGTGCTGTCCAGTGTGAGATTAAAGTGTGAGTCCTGTTGTTTAGGAAATTACATGTTTCTAAGAGTAGAACCTTGGGTGTGACTGCTCATCTACTCACTCATGTGGTTGAATAAAAGTTTCCAAATTAAAAGAAAAGAGCATCATCAAGGTACTCTCACTTGCATTTTCTTCTCTCTCAGCATTATCAGCTGGGAATGATTAGAATCATCTGTGGGGTTTTCTGTGCGTAAGGAATACTATCTTTCAAAGACTTTACTGTAATCTGGTAATTCCTCAGTACCTCAGTTTCCTCATCTGTAAAATGGAGATAATGTTGTACCTACCCCAAATTGTAATCATTAATTGGGTTAATATGAGAATTCATGTTTAGTATGAATAGAAATGTAGTCTATCAATATTAGTAATGATTTCATTCATCATATAAACTATAATAATATAAGAGTAGGACTATATTTAATTGCAGTGACAAACTTACCATGTAAATATCAACAGCAAAACAGATAAGACTTTCTCTGTATTTATGTAAAATTTTCTATTTTCCACTAGAAAAATTTTGAGACTAGTAAGTGATGCTAATTCATACGAGGCTTTCTAAGGCAATCCTGATAATTTAGTTTAAATGTTAAGTTTATTGGTAATTTTACTAGTGCTCTTAGCTTTCCTTACAAGGAATTAATTGATTTAATTTTAGAGCCTGAATGGTCTGTAAATAAATCACTGCACATTGCATTAGAGAGTTCTCTCATACTATTGTTTGACAATGTTTTGTGATGAATATTACAAACAGAATGGCTGTTATTGGAAAGAAAAACATGTTTTATGTAAGATTCATTATGTTCACTGTTTTGCTTTCAGTTTACTTTCCTAGTCCTTGGACCTTTGGTTGAAAAACTTGCTTTATTTTTGTGAGAGCTGACTCTTTTCTAACCCCATCTCCAACTGCTACTTTATTGTATCCAAAGGAATCCTCATGTCTGCTCTCTTTAACCCTCTGATTGTTGCTCATGGTTTCGTAGCCAGAGACTGGCTAATAAAAAATAGAAAAAATTAAATCATGCACAATGCCAACTCCTTTTATCAGAAAGTGAGAATGCTGTTGGAAGCAGAAGTTACATTTATGTGAAATACATCTGTATGAGTTTGTTGAAGCTGTTATAACAAAGCATCACAATCACTTCTCGGCCTTTTGGCTAAGACCAAGTGTAACAAAGCATCACAAACTAACTTGTCTTAAGATAACTGAAATTTATTCTCAGTCTGCAGGCTAGAAATCCCCAGTCCAGGTATCAGCAGGCCCTCTTGAACATGTAGGGAATCCTTTGTCTCTGCTCAACTCTTGGTGGTCAGTAATTCCTCAGTACCTCAGTTTCCTCATCTGTAAAATGGGGAAAATGCCATTCATTAGCTGTCAGCGACTTCTCTGCAATTTCTTTGTTGTTTCAAGTGCTGTCCCACAGGTGGCTCTGTGTCTTCACATGTTTGTCTGTGTCTGTGTCCTCTCACGGATGCCTGCCATGGAGGGATGAGGCCCACCCTACTTCATCTTATAGTCTCATCTTAATTGCATCCTCAACAGCCCTATATTTAAATAAGCTTACATTCTGAGGACACACAGATTTAGCAATTAAGACTTCAATATCCATATTTTTTAAAGGAGTTGATTCAATTCATCCAAACACCCAATTTAAAAAAATTTTATTTCCAAAGGTGAAATTTTACTACCTATACTTAATAGTATTGAATTATTTAGATATTGAAAACATTTGCACCACAAGATTTTTCATTATAACTTAGGCTGCATAAAATTTTTGTTGATGAATAATTAATTGTATATTTTTAAAGGAATACATCTTACTACATAGATTTATACTTCTAAAGGCTATTATAAAAACCAGTAAGAAAAAAATTAAGGGAAAAATATGTGATATAAATTACTAAAATCAGAAAGGTCTGAGCTAAAATGATATAGATGAATAGGATTATTGATTTTTTTACAGAAAATTATAAAAATCAGGTAACATAAACTGTGTTTCTTTTTGTTGCCTATTTAATGTAAAAAGATGCTAAAATCTTGGGAAGCAAAAAGTATCATAAAAGGCAGGGTATTTCTTTTGAAAATGTTTGTGAACACATGTACTTAAAACTGGAGTTGCTATTTGGGGGGAAGTAAATCAGAATCATGCATTAATATCAGAAATCATCCAGTTAACTGCATCAGACATTATGATTAAACTGAGCACATTTAAAGAGAAAGGTGTATCTTCTGAAAGCTAATCAGCCTGAAAGCTGGCGTGGGAGCGAACTTCTCTGGTGCGGAGTGGGGGAAGCATTATGCTGGAAACAGGAGGTAGAGAGGGACAGCCTTTAACATGGCTTAAGACTCGACTTGTGCTCAGCTTCCAGGGAGCATATAGCATCCACAGATTTAGAAATCAAATACCCTTGGAAGGTCTTTGTGCATCCAAATATCAAATGTTTCTTCTTGGCAAAATATATATCCCACATGGAACCTGAGTAGCAAAAGATCTGGGAAATGTAGATTTTAGCTTAAAAGTTCTCTGTAAAATTACCCACATAATTGTCCTATACTTCCCGCTGGACAGATATATCACCAAGTCTGTGTCTGTCTGTCTGTCTCTCTCTCTGTGTGAGTGTGCATGTGTGTGTGCATGCAATGTATCCGGCACTTAATATTTTCATTTACAAATCTGAAAATTAGACCAGCAGTCTCCCTGTAAAGGTAATAAGATGACTCTTGAGTATCTTAGCCAGAGATGATAAAATGACCCAGTTGCAAAGCTCGGGTCTAGATCTCAAAACCAACAAAGAACAATCACCTGAAAGGACATATGAAAGAATTCAGACAACTGTTTTTCTGAGATTTTTTCAGATTTCATGCAACTTGTCATGCTAGTTATTTTTTGTTTCCATAGGAAAGTTTACTGTAGAAAACAAAACAAAAATAAAACCTAAAATAAAAGTCTATGAATTTACATGGAGGAGAGACAGTAAATATGCAGAGTTGAACTGGTGAGATATGTTGATTCTGTAGTTAATCAAGTCAGGAGCCCAAGAGACTAAAGATGTTTTTGAATAAGAAAAATAGAGTCAGCAAGCTTCAGACAAACTGAAAACAACAAAGAAAGAAACTGGTCCTCCCATATATGCTTGTATGGAAGGAACAAAAAATATGAGAAGAGAAGGCAACAAGAAAGGGTCCTCAGTCCCCAATCCTGAGAACACTGATCCAGGAAAGGTAAATGCAAAGGAGAATGAGGACAGCAAACATGCAACATCAGACACAGCACCAGTGGACATAAAGTGATATCTTAGGAACCTCAAGATGAGTTCAAAAGTGAAGTATTTAACCAAGTAAAGCAAGATATAAGTAGAATAATGAAAAAAATGCTAAGCACCTCCCAAGAAAAAACAGATGGAAGAATGGAAGAGCAAAAAAAAGGGGAAAACTGTTTGATGGAGAAAATAGAGAAAACAGAATACATGAAGCAGGTTCAAAGAGATTACCAGGAAATTAAAAACTCCATTGAAAGCTGGCAAAACTGCTTGAAAGAAACTAAGGACAGATTATCCAAACTGGAGGACAGGCAATGCAACGTGGGAACATGAAAGGAAAAATTTCTTAAAAATAACAAGGAAACAAGCCGTAACAATACAAAGGCTAGAAGATCTATAACTTAAGAATAAAGAATGTGAATGAAGAAGCAGGGATACAAACAAAGGAACTGCAAAGGCTATTCACAGAAATAGTTAAGGAAAACTTCCCAAACATAGGAAAAGGAAATGATATTCTGATGTATGAGGCATACAGAACTCCAACCACCTACAACCAAAACAGAACTATACCCAGGCATATAATAATCAAGATCCCAGAAATCCAATGTAAGAACAGAATATTAAAAGCTGTCAGAGACAAGAAACAGATCACTTACAAGGGAAATCCCATCAGAATTACGTCAGACTTCTTGGCACAAACCATCAAATCAAGAAGAGCATGGGGTGAAATATTCCAAGCCTTGAAAGAAAATAATCTCCAGCCAAGGTTGATCTATCCTGCACAACTGTCCCTAGAAATTAATGGAGAAACAAGATGCTTCCAAGATAAAGAGGAACTGGGGGAATTCGTAACCACCAATACAACTCTACAGAGAATACTACAGGACATTCTAAAGAGAGAGAAAAGCACCAGGATTTCATGAACAGTGGAAAAGAGGCCCCAATGAATGGAAAAAAAAGCAAAATGAAGACAAACAGACAACTAATGATGGAAAAAGAGCAGAAATGAGGCAGAGAAGGTTGGATATAATTTCTAATATAGATGGCCTAGATACACTAACTTAAGGGGAAAAAGAGAGAATCACAGGCAGAGTGGATCAAGAGGTAGGGCCCACTGAGATGCTCTTTATAGGAAATATAATTAACCTGAAGAAGAGTATATGGACTAAAATCAAATATGAGAAAACAGAACTTGACGTGATAGGGAACCAGAGAGTAATAGGGGTAACTGGACCAGTATTTATGGATAGGTTGAAAAGGCACATTTTAATAAGTGAATAAATACAACTAGAGATCAAGTCCAGGAGTGAGAAAGTTTGGAAACATTTAGGTAAATATCAGGTTGCCCCCCAACATAAAACCAAGAGTGTTGGGGAGACACCAGTATACACAGTACATCCTGGGGAAGTGAAAGGGGAGGAATAGTCTTAAAAAAGACAGCAGAAGATATTGATAGTGTATCAGGAATTAAAACCCTTATTACTCACACTACTCTGCTTGGATGGAACCTGTTCCACCCCAGTTTGTATACAAACACTGGATCTCAGGGCACAGATAGCTGTCCTGAAGATAGCACAGTGGTCATCTTTAATTTCCTATTAACTTAATCTGGATTTCTGTATGACTTATACTGTTGTGTCATGACTGATCTTAGTTAAATCTGACCTGTTTGCTGCTTATTACTGACAGATTTTATTCAAACTATTAGGTTGATGATATCAAGTTGAAGGGTATAGACAACTATACTGAAAATGACAATGATTCACTACGATACCCTTTCTGATTTGATTACTACCTTTTTTTGTAGCTCTATTCTATCTACAAAGTTGTATTTCTATTAATTCTGTTATTTACTTATATATTCAATTATACTTTGTCTGATGATATAGCCAATTCTGTTGATGATAACAAGAGACAGCACAGTGACCATGGTAGAACTCCTTATACAGCAGTTTTGTATGTCTTTTTAGTTTTATGTGTCTATAGGAATATGTTTTGTTCTGTCCTGCTTTGTTCTGTTTCTCCCTCTAATATAGAAAGGATAGAAATGCATGTGAAGACTCATGCTTGCATAAAACCTATAAACAGTTTATGAGAACTGATCTTAAGACACATGATGAAATGAACAAATACTCTGAAGAAAAAAAAGGGGCACTGCAGTACCCAGTGCTGATCCTGGAGTGTCATGATGTGAAATCTAGTAATACTATTAATCGTAGTTCAGAATGATTTTAATTTACTAAGTTTTGTTAGATCTCAACATAAATGAAGATATGGATAAATGCATACATGTCTAAGTGTGTAGGATTGATAGCCATATTACTTAGTTTTTACTGGATAGTTGAACAGAACTGTTTGCAGTCTCCCTGGTTGAAATCCCATTTATACGTTCCACTTTTGTGTCTTGAACAATTATTTGTGTGTGTGGGGGCAATATGTATACATCAACTAGTTATTTATTACTGTTTATTTCTTTTCTTTTGAAAGTATGTACTATTTCTACCCGTCTTCTGTTTTGTTTTGTCTTTCTTTAAATAAAATTAAAAAAAGAAGAAGAGAAATTAAGGCTAAATCCACAAAGTCTACTAGAGAACTGTAAAGGGCTGTGAGCCTTTGGCCCTCAGTCACAAATGAGCATTGGGTACAGTGAGTGTGAAGCAAGGATGCTTTCATGTCTATTTTACTGTGTCCCCAAGCAGACTCTGAGGGTCACTGTTCCTAGCAGGTCTTCTGATTTCCTAAGTGTGTATCTCATCACTTTCTTGTCAGTGGGATGAAACACTTGACACACATGACTGAAAGGAGAGATTTATTTTGACTCACAGTTTTAGAGGTCCCAGTCCAAGAATGGTGGCCTGCTCCAAGAGAGGCAAGATGGGAGGGGGAGGTGGGGGACAGCTGTTTACCACATGGTGATCAGGAAGCAGAGAGAGAATGGAGTAACTTAAAGCAAGAATGCCCCTTTCAGTGACCCACTTCCAACCAGGGCCCATTTCCTAGGGCACATTCAGCCTCTGAACTCACCAATGGATGAATCTACTGGTTAGATTCAATTACCTTTCAACACAAGAGACTTTGGGG